CCCCCCCCCCCCCCCCCCCCCCCCCCCGTCACGGCGTCGTCCGGATGCGAAAGTGTACAAATACTACGTTCCTGTTTGCTTCATGAAAGAGCATGACTACGGGTACAACTAGCATGCTTTCTTTGCTCCTTTCGAACCGGATTCTTGTTGTGGGTTAGACTAATTAACTGTCGTCCGGTCATCCCGGTGTGTATGCCCTGGCCTGTCTACTACGCACGTTGTTACGGTTTCTGTCGAAGACAGAAAAGATGTGCGCCCTAGGAGTACTTCATAAGTCGGTGCCCGATGCAATTCCGCGCGTCCTGCAGTTTACCTCGTGTGTACCCTTCGCTTTGGCTTTGAGGAACATTGAGGTCATTGCGGTAACTTGTTGGACTAGTACCCTCGTGAAATTAATTGCAGACCTTGATTGTTAGGAATGACTGCTGCATGATATTGTGTGAGTTTGTCTAGTCCTTCTGTGAATATCAACCTCACTTGTATCTCAGCTGGCGGGGTTCTCTGTGTTGAACATGTGCATGCAGTGGAGGACGCATGGCCAACGAATACCGACCGCGGGAAGTTGAGTTGATTGACGGTGTAGTATAATTGTGAACTCGTTTTCGGAACCCGTTGCGAAGCTCATAGGAAGCCTACGAGGGTGCGTTGCAGGACTCCGTGCGTCTCCAACAGGATAGGTGTCTCTGCATGTGTCAACTTCTGCAGCTTCCGCCGAAAAGCTATTTCGGCGATGACAGCAAAATAACATATTAGAAAGGTAGGGTGTGTTTGTTATTATCAGGTACCCCTATTTGGTAACTTCAAGTTCATGGGATGCAAAGAAATGTACTTTTGAAGCGACAAATGCTGCTGATGACGGAACTTATCAATGAAGCAAAAAGTTACTGACGACGGAGAGATGGATGTTGGTGTTTTAGTTTTTCTGGTGGGTTTTGGGAAGACAAGAAGGTTCGAGGACCCCATACTTGTGGATGTGAATATGTTCGACATGAGCCCATGCCCACTTCGCCCCGGGGGCCTTCCGGGGTATGCCGAAGTGAGGTTGAGAATGGAGTTGTTGCCAAACAGCCTAAGCTCTGAAAAGTCAACTGTGGGTTGCTCTGGGTGTGTACATGCGATATCCGGTCTCAGATTTTTTATCCGGGGTCGGGAAGGTGGGTTTTCAGCGAAATTTGGCGATTTATCTTACTCAATGTATAGGAAAAAGCGAAGCCGGGGACACGAAATTTCCGTCCCCCCCCGGGGACAAAACGGGGATTTACCCATAGCTTGGCCTATTTGAGTGCTTTTTTGACCACTGTTCCGGAAACAAAATCCCTACAGCTTGTTCCGAATGTATAGGAAAAAGCGATACAGGGGACACGAAAATTACGTCCCCCCCCGGGGACAAAACGGGGATTTTCCTATATCTTGGTCAATTTGAGTGCTTTTTGGACCGCTATTCAGCTACAAAAATCCCTGCAGCTTGTGCCAAACACACGGGGAAAAACGAGACAGGGGGCACGACAATTCCGTCCCCCCCCGGGGACAAAACGGGGATTTGCCCACATATTGATCGATTTAAGTGCTTCTACTCTTCACGGTTGGCAGTCAACACATAATCACTAGCCCAACTCCGAGAACCTCCTCTTCGCAATGCGTACGCGCCCTCTTGAGCTTACGTATCTCTCTTCCTCCCTCTCCTCTTCCTCCTCCTCCTCCCCGTCCTCCCCCTCCTCCCCGTCCTCCTCCTCATCCTCTTCCTCCTCCCTCTCCTCCTCCATCTCCTCCTCCCCATCTTCCTGCTCCCCCATGCTCTCGTCAAGCGTCGGACTAGGCATGGGGTTGGGAGTAGGCGCCACAGGAGACTCGTCCGAAGATATCACCGGAACAATACCGCCGGTCAATTGAGTCCCAAACGTGCGTCTCCCAACCTTCTCCTTTCCCGACTTCTCCATCACCTTGCCAACCAAGTCGGGGTACACCTTCGCTACCATGCAGTCATCGTAGCAGCCTACTCGGCAAGTCGAGCAGTAGCACGACGCGCCCCGAACCCGCAACTTCCAAGATCTGGTGAAGTTCTTGGGGGCGGTCCATTTCCTCGCCCTGGACTCGTCTACCACCCACTTCCTAGCCGTCAACACCTTACCTCCGGCCGCTTCCACCCCAGAATCGTCTGTCTGCACCCCCACACTTGTAGCCCACACAAGACTACAGGTATCCTGCACATCCTCCTGCTCCTCCTCTGTTCCCGTGAAAAAGTATAGCTTGGAACTTCCAGGGATCCCCGTCAGATCTATCGGTGGGCGAGGAATTCCTTGGGGCCAAACTTCCTGACTTCGAAGCTCTTGATCCGGTAAGGGGACCAGGTTGTGAAGTGGCCTTCACGCGCCTTGTCCGCCTCCGCGGCGTAGCCTAGCAGAAACTCGTGCGCGACGCAGCAACTTGCCTGAATTTCCTGTTGCACGGGAAACGTCGTCGGAGTGCCAAAAAGCCTTGGCGAGAGCCATTACCTCGGGATTCGTCACGTCACTCCGTGTCTTGCGCTCGTTATACACGTAGCACCCGTCACTCACAGCGTCCCTGGGGGCGATGTCGTGGTTCGTGTTGTGCATCCGCACACGTGCGTCGCTGAAAGTCTCGTACCGAATGCCGAGACTCTTGGCTCGCTCGGCAAAGCTCACTCCACCAGGCTCAGCGGGCTTGCACCGGTTGCCAGGGGGGCACAGGTTGGGGTCAGGACACGTGTGCTCCCCCGCTCCCGCTGCTGTGGCGAGCGCTGTCGTGTACGCGGTCCACCCTATCGAGCTGTTGCTGTGCCGCTTCAGCGCTTGGAGCGAGGCACGGAGCGCGCGAGTGTTCGCCGCGTTGACCGCCGCCTCCTTAGCTGCTGCCTGGTCTGCAGCGCTCGCCCCCAGCATGGCCCGTACTCGCTCCATCAACACGTGGTCCTTCTGGATCAACTCCAGCGCGCTAGAGCGACGCTCCTCCGAAGCCTGCGTACATGTATCAGGAGTTGTTGGAGTCGGGGGAGGGTGTGTGTTATGTTCAGCAGGAGTATGGGTGGGCCAACAACAAATGCCACACGTAGAAGCCTGCAATTAGTACAACAGTGATCCCATGCAACTTTTCATGCGCTTTCTACGCTAACATCACGAAGTCGTGGAATGGAGATCAATCTCGGGAGCACGAGCAACAGAGGGCCGTGCGTACCAAAATTCAAATACTGTTTAAATTTAGAGCGGCACGAATTGGCGCCAAGAAGTACAATACTGTAGTCCAAGCATTTCAACAGCACTTCAGCAACCCAAAACCTCACCTGTTCCTCGCGCGAAGCCTCTGGGGTAGCCCCGCTTCTCGTCCCGCCATCGTGAGCCAATGCTAGAGGGTCGGAGAGAGCTACGTCCGCCCCCTTGCGCTTCCCCTTCCCCGAAGCAGCAGCAGCAGCAGCAGCGGCAGCCTGTTGGTTGCCGCGCTTTGATGCTCGTTCTTGGATGGCTTCAGCATGCTCTCTACCCTTTTCGCGGAGCTGATCTTCATCAGCAACTACAGAGGACAACTTACTGCCAGCTGCCTTCGTGGTACCCTTCTTTAACAGCCAGGAGGTTAGCAGTATCCCGCGGTTGTGCTTCTTCCGGTGCTGCCTTACTACCCTCTTTTCCCCGCGGACGTGGATTATGCGGTCTACAAGCATGAGACTGCAACGAGCCACGGCCAGGCCCGAGTCGGCACGGCCGTAGATGTTGGAGTTTAGGGCTGAGGACCTCGAGAGTGGTGTCCTCTGTATGTAATTCGACCAAGCGGAGTCGATTGCCGTGGAGAACAAGGCATGAGTCGTCGATGTTCATGGTGAAACAGGATGCGCCGCATCGCTTATCTTGAAAGATGTGTCGACGAACTATTTTTTTTTTTTCGTTTTTTTTTTCTTTCGGTTGGTCTCGCCGAAACAGTTCTAGAACCGGTCTCCCTTGTCCCTACCGACAGAAACTCCAACATCTACAGCATTCTCCCCCATTCGCCGGAAGGCCCCCCCGGTGCGGCCCGATCTCGCAGTGGGCACGTATTTTATCACTGATGCGCGCGACCACAGAGCGGCCGACACGACACGAGCAGAACGAACCAACCACCTCTCTTCGTTGCCGAAGCTGTTGGGAACCGCTCGGTGTTCCTCCGCTCTCAGACTTCTGTGCCGGCAAACGATGACCGCTTCGCACTACCGTTGCAATCTCTTTCCGAAATACTGTTGCCTTCACATTAAAAACGATCTCTCTGCCCACTACCTTCATCTGCCGCTATTGATCTACCAATTGTTAACGGGGTTGATTCCCGTGGTCACAGGCGTAACTAAAATGCCAAGTCGAGCCACAATATTCAGAAATGCGTGATAGGCGCTTTTGTGAAGAATATGTGCATCACGGGATGGCACGTAGTAAAAGAAACGCACGCGTTGCGAGCCAAGTGGTGGCATGTACGAAAACATTATCTGCTCGGAGAGAGCTGAAGTCGTTCATATGATGCATGGAATGAACGAAAATATCTGGAAAACTTGTACGGAGACACATTCTACGCACGTGGGAAGCACACGAGTCGCGTTTGTGTCACCTTCCGTTCATAAAGCGAGAAATACGAATGTGTCCCTTGCAAAAGGAACAAACGTATGTAGCTATGCACAAGAGCAATCTTTCCGCATATCCATACATCGGCCATAGGTCGGTGGTTCCGCCCCAGAGATCAACGTCATTCAAATCCTTAGCAGCGACTGTTCGTGCAATAAACTACTGGAAGTATCGGAACATTATCCTAGTTCCGTCCGCTGGTTGGCGAGGCACACCATAACTACCCCACCCGTGCCTCCCACTACCGACACATACGACAGCCTACAGAATTGCAAAGACCCGTGCTTTGAATGAGCCGTTGATATACACAGAATCTCGACCATGGGGGAGTAGACCGTCGTCATGCTCGCCTGCCCTTCTGTCTCCCAACCAGTACTTAGCCTTCCGTCTCTTTTCTAGGGGAAGGCACGAGCCGCGGCTACAAGGCATTTACCACATCCATGTAGAACAATGGCTACAAGAGACTACCAAACAATGTCCAGAAAAGGACCGCCAGATATGAACAATGCTTGCTCAAAACCAAACATCAACGTTGTCCCGAACGGGCCAAAGACAGAGACGACAGTAGTGAGGCAGGGAAACGCCAAAGATGAAGCAGAGCCCATTGCAAAAAAAAAAGCAGTGTCCGAAACAACCCTAAACTCACCGTCCCTTGCAAGTTCTTTCTATCCAACGGTCGTCCTTGCGTTCCTAACCGCTACCTTCCAAGGTCACGAGTAACCGTTATTCCAGCTCCCCTGTCCTCAATTATCCTTTCGAACAAGAATCAATATGGTACAAAATACGGAAGCCAACATTCTCACGCCCCTATCTAGGAAGACCACGAACGGTTCTTCGGTAAGTGCTTTAATTGACACACAAGACTAAATAGCATCGATATGGAGAACAAATTGCACACGACAAAGATCGACAGAAAAGTTAAATAGCACTGTCTTCGGAGAACAAATCACACCTGATGAAACCGGCTGGGCGGTGCCACGTTAGACGCGTTGTAAGGGGTGCGAGCTAGTGCCAAACCAACCGTCTTGGTTTAACGATTTTCCAAGACACAGTCCAAGCGTAGTCCACACGTGACGAAGGGGCAGTATGCCGACAGTTACCGTTGCGGTTGTTCTCACGTCACATGGCATTTCTGAGGAAACCTAGGCTGTGCTCAACAAGAAAGGCCTGACAAGGGACACCCGACAAACGACACTGCCAGTCCAGAATGTTGCAACACACACGCGGGGAGCCAGATGGCTCTCTAGCGTGTTCGCGATTTTGGACCCGCCCGCAGCAAGACTTGATGTTTTTCAACCATCAGCCAGTCAGGTGGGTCGCTGGCAGGAGGGCGACGACATATTTCCAAAGTAATCTAAAGAGAGGACCTCCGTCTTTCATATGAGAGCTCCCCGCTGTCCTGTCCTGACATGCGTGAAGAGCACCCCCTCGCCAACTAAGCGAAAACCTGAGGCTTTCCGTCCCGGATTTTTCAGGGAAACGTTCACGACAGGAATCTAGACCAAAATCATGAACCGAATACCTCCTATCCCTTCCTCGCCTTGAAATTACCCCGGCAAGTCCTATACGAGATTTCGCAGGGGCAATCGTGCCGGGCAGTGTTGTAGCACTTCTGTGCCTTTATGGCTACGGTTGTTCTTGATCCGCGTCTGCTGCTCCAGGGAATTAACGGGCATCGTCTGCTTGGCGTTTCGCCTCGAGCAGATCCCTGCAACATTGTTGGATGCACCAAGAGCACCGGAATCAGGGAATCCGTCGGAACACTCGGGAGCGGTGCGCAAGTGTGTGGTGAGGAAGACTGGTACACTCCACACGTGGTGGGTTTATCCGACACAAGGCTTAAACGATGTGACCATGAACCGTTGATCGTTACACCGTGCAACTTGTCGAGAGAGGCGGCTCCATCATGTATCAACTCTCGTCCCATCCAAACGTACAATGACCCGAAATCAACCAGATCGTATTGGATCCCATGTATCTGACTCATCTCGAACTTGCCGTGTTAGGACATATTAAAAGTCTCATTTGAAGTCTTGAGGATATGGTGATTTCGACGATAGTTTGGCGAGGGCTACCTTTCGCTCGGCTGTGAGCCCGAACTTTGTAATTCCAAGGAACTCGAAATATTCACCACATGTCAATTCATGCGGATTAGTGTCTTGTTCACATACGACAACAAAGCCAATTTTAAGCCAACGCAGTGTCGTGAGACGCTAATCAGACCCGGGTTTGATTGTGACCAATAAATACGTTCCCACGAAACACCACCGACACCAGCACCAGAAACAGATCTCAATTTCAGGCAACCTTTTTCGCTCACCTTGCGAGGTCGATAATTCCATCGACGTCTGGGTGGTACCATGTATTGCAGCGTATCGTCCAATCATCGCCCGCGGTATGTCTCGCGTAGATGTGGTGAAGCTTTAGTTTGGTCAAATGTTGGTTGCAGAAAACAATGTTTGGTCAGGCGACACGGCAGCAAGCAACGATTGGAGAGTGATTCAAAGTGCAACTTTTGCCATGTTTGTTGCGAACAGAGACGCAGCCTCGTTCTTCATTGAGAGGAAGACCTACCAAGCAACCAATTACTGGAAAGTTTAATCGTTCAAGTTTCCGGTAGGGCAGGTGCTTTCTGCCACCTTCAGCAAACGTCCGAAAATAAAAAAGGTCCTTGCCGTCCTCTAGTAAACCCCATTAGACACACAGGTGCCCTGCCGTCCGGGGCACTCAACACGAGCACACACGCCGGCATCAAAATCGCCATTTGTTCAAGGTGCAATCAACGACGCTGCACCTATTGCTGCCTGTGACAGACGGCCTGGGCGTCTTGCTGTAGCTCTCTTTTGTGCGGTGTGAACGTGTGTCCTGCTGCAAGCACGCTCAGCGTCTCGGCGCGGGCGAGAACCACTTGCCCTGAAACCGAGCCCCGTATTCCGAGTACTGCACACCATATCCCTACGGCCAATCCGTACCTTCAAGGCAAGCCTCAAGAAGCAGGGGGGGCACTCTAACGGGGCAATCTCCAGCACCGGAGTGTGCAGGGGCGCCACGATCATGTTGGCAAGCCCGGCTCCGTGGGGAGCTATGATCATGGACGCGGTTGCGAAGGTCTTGAGCTGATCTCGGACGGGATCTGTTCCGAAGAACTCCACCACATCGAAGCTCGGAAAGTTTCTCTCCAGGGCCTCTTTCACCTAGATCAGCGTTGTATCGTTGTTGGTGTTGTATCGCTCTCGAACAGCATCGGACCCTCGAATAGACTCAAGTTAAATGGATCATACCTACTGGACATGGTTAGCCAGACACTACAATATAAACTTCGAAGTACGTTGTATCTTTCACTAGAACCATGCCGTGGCTTTTCGCAGCCCCCGTTTCGTAAGCCCTGTTTGTTCCGGCATACACGCCAACGATTCATGTCATTCTTTCGGCTCCCGCACGGGAAGAATGTAGCGGGCATGACCCGAGAGTCTCGCGCCACGCGGCGCGCTGTGTCGGGAGCTGCTGACGTGTGAGAAGTCACTGGAAATCAAGAACTTGGTGGTTCCGGTCGGTTCTGTTCTGTTCTGTTCTGTTCTGTTTTTTCGTTCGTTTACGTCATAGCAAAACCAGCTGTGGTAAAAAGGTAAGTCACAACATCGCATCTGGCAGCGGCAACAGTCTCTACCTCCCGCAACTCTGTCTTTCTTCGCGTTGTTCCTGCAGCTCCTGGACGGCAACAATGTACGCAAAGCGCGACCCGCGCGTAGCGCGCCCGCTGCCTACACAGCAAGGCATCAACCAGAGTTACACACACAACACACACAAAACAGAATCGCCGTTTCGTGTGGATGTGTGCCCCGGGATCAGCGCTGTGCAACCAAGCGGTGTGATGAAGCACGTTTGATATCAGTGAACCTCCGAACCTGCATCTATCGGTGTACTTCGCTTTACCACCGTAGACAGACGTGTACGCACAGCATACCGCAGTGCCTACCCGATCCTCGATGTTTTGTAGGTTGGTGCTGTGCAAGCGTGAAATAGTCGCAGCTCTCCATGACGTTGCTAAGCAACTTCGCATAGCCTGCCTATGCATATGGGAGGTGCATTACAATGGGAGGTTTACAGCCTGCACATCTAATCCTGCAGTACATAAGAGTTCATTAGTCGTGCAGTTGTACACAACGTTACACAGAACATATTGCGCTTTAGGATACCAGTTTTGCTCGCGGAAGGAGACTTAAAAAGTATTCGTAGTGTTGAGGTGCGATTCCATGGGCCTGCCAGAGATGTCAGAGAAGGGGGGGTTGCAAATTTCCGTCGCACAGCCCGTCGCAGAGATGTGTATATGTCATTCACGCGTGCGAGAAACCCATGAATTCATTGAAGTAGTCCGGGTTGGTTATGGTAAAGTCGTCGACATACCCGACAAAATTGAATCTACACCACTTGCCGATATTCTATACAACTTCAAACTATTCCTTTTCTTCACCTACGGGTTATGCGCGAGCTCGCTCCCCTGGTCGGGGGGCGGGCGAAAGCACTCATGCATCACGTACAAATGCAAACCATTGAGTCAGCATAGAGAAAAATACTCCCAAGACTTTCGTGCTGTCGGGTTTCGATGTACCCGATGACAAGTCCGCCAGATTCGGCCGTTGGACGGCGCGCTCGTCCTCAGAACAGAGGAAGTAGAAAACTTACGAGGCACTCGTCGGTGCTTTCATGGTCAGCTGCATGCCATGGGAAAATGCCAAGGGGGGTTACAGTAAAAGTTTGTTTTTTTGTGTTCATTTCAAATCGCGCTCACAGCACTGGTGCCGTTTACTCCAACCCGTGGTCACACAGAAGTTCCCCTCTCTATCCTCCCCTCCTGCGGTACTTTGCCTTCGATTTTTAATGCGAGAAGAGTTCAGCACTCTCTTCCCTCTGTTACACACGAACTAGCGCGATCCACTAGGCCAGGAGCGGAAGCGAGAGAAAAACTCACTTTGCAAGAAAAGCTCGCTTACGCCGGGATTCGAACCCCTGATCTGATCTCTAGAAGGTTCCGAGAATACCAACTAGACCACCGGGGCGACCGGTTGTGGTGCGTCGAGTTCATTGGTAGAGCGAAGCATGTACACTCAAGATCCGAAGGAACCAGGCACAACACTAGCCTATACGCTCAGCGTCCCAACTTGTTTGCTGCTACTTCAGATTCCTCCCTGGTATCGACGTATTTGCAGTTTGTGATGAACCGGATGTGTGCCCCTACTCTCGTATCATCGTGTAGGGATATCGGCGAAGCTGCAAATACTCGCATGGAGGAAACACCGTGGAGATTGCGTAATCGAAGAGAAAACAACACGATCACACTTTCTATTGTGCATGTCACAACTATCGTGGAAGCTCGTACGACTTCGATGGGAATATTTTAAAAAATCGGGGGAGCAGACATCCTTACTTCTTGAAGCTGGAGTTGGGGACGCAAACAAAACCCATCGACATCCTACGAGACACGGGTATCCATTCACCATCATCACTTCCACGGCAGATGCCATATTTCGGTGGACGTATCGCGGCACGTTCGCCGGTGACCTCATTCAAGCTAAAATCTACTCAAAAAAAGGTATTCAAGTTGTGGAAACTTCCATTAACTCGAAAGAAACTCGTGATAATGAACCTCCTGGGCGTACAGCGTCCACTCAAGCTACCATGCGGTATGATCGTCTTTCGAGATCTCTGAACAGTTGCATTTGTGGAAGGTATCGCTCACGGATGGGCTTTGATCGGGCTGCTCACGCACGGGCATATCCCCATATCCCCATATTTGCTGCGCTGTGTACACCCATGGGTCTTTCGCTGTCTACCAAGATCAACATGTCTGCACGTTTTTTGGCGCTTCGCGCTACTGTAGCGCAATGTTTCCATGGAGCGTCGGCTCAACGAACGAATCGGCGGTCAAATCATTATGAAGGACAATTTTTTTGCACATGGATACCTCGTCGTTGTTTTCCAGGCCCCGTATATTGCTGCGCACAATGAGCACGATCACCGGGCGGGGCGGAACAGGAGGAACGCCGTCCGTGCCCGGAAAAAGGCCCTGCAACGACAAAGTGCAAGGATGCCGCGGTTCGTATCTGTTTTTGATCATCACTACATATCAATCTTTTCGAACCTGCAATTTTCACACACACATGTATCGGCAGGCCTACGAAAGGTGGAAACGAACAGGAGAAGAAAATAGCAATAGTAGAACGAAGGGTGTCGAAAAGAAACAAAAAAACGGAACCAACGACAAGATTCCTAAACCCCTGCCACAAAAGAATACCATTTGGTTTTTCGCTCGCTGCTCACCTGGAGGAATCTGTTCCTGAGCATGTTGATCATGCTAGGGTCCGGGTCGCCGCAATTAGTAGTAGTCGGCACAATAGCTAGATTTGCATGGACCTGGGACGGAGAGGAAGGGTTTCTGCGGTTTGAACGGTGAAGAGGGTGAAATAACGGCCTGTAAGCGATGCGCCCCGGGGTGAGCGTCAAGCCGCGCTAGGCCGCGGACTGGTGCAAGCTTCAGAGCCAGCACACCCGCGGGGCGTGTGTTGGCTCGTTGAGATATACCATAAAACCACCTGCGCTAACCGGCTGAAAATGCGACATACGCCGCCAAGAGTGGGACAACAAACAAACGCCTTTCCCAGTTCCGCGGATGTCCCTGGGGGTGGACGCGGTGGAAGTTATGTGCAATGGGAGAGCCTGCTGAACGTTCAAAGCACTTGTACACGAGCTGAAACGAAGGACTCTTCCTATGGTGCCTTCCTGGTCCCGGCGGTGGTACTACTTGCGTCTAGCGTCGATGGATGTCATACTTCATCCACGAAGCCCAACCAAACCACTCAGCAGGACGACGCAGATGAGATTTTCTGAAAATAGCTGCTGCCCTATTCCTGCAATTCTTGAGGAAACTTCGCTCAACGCGTCATGACATGGTCACCAACGTCTGGTGGCAACTGCGGAAGCGTGAAGGGAAAGGTACCTCGATAGGGCGTACATTTTCGAATTCCCGACCTACAATACGAGACAGCCATCGCGAAGTTTTTTTGCCCAGCTGGCGTTTGTCATCTCGACAAATATTTGATGGACCCTGTCGGTGTACGACCTTGTCGGTGGTGCCCAAAATCATGATTAGTCGAGGCCTCCAACATGGTCGTGTTGGAGTCCGCACGTAGACTACAATGTTGTCAATCAACCTTGTTCTCGCAGTAAACAACGACAGCAACAAGCAGCAAGCTTCACCACCGCAAACATTTTCCCACCTCGTGCGAGGTGTACACGATGCGCTCTCTGCTGATTCCAATAAGCTCAAACAGCTCCATATGAGCTTCGAGCTCTACGGAAGTGTCATGCCACTTGTCGTGCCCGTGGTGGTGCATAACGATCTGAATGCGGTTGTACAAAGACACACGGGGGACGTCAACAAGAGCATGATCACATAAACAAAAAACAACTTGGTGCTACATGCAACCCACTTTGTTGTTTACCATCCGAAAACGAGCGACAGTTATTTGGACATACCGGAGCAGCACCATATACGACGGGTGATACCACGGACCGACGCTTGCAAGAAAAAGCAATAACGCTCCTCAATATACCACCACCAGGAACTGTGAAATGCTGTGGCACGAAGATGTCATCGTCATCGAGGTTTGCCCTCAGATATTGGAGCCATGGAAGTGGAGTGTGTGTTTGGGAGAATCGGCGCCGGTGTGCTAAATCACAGTTCGTCGTTTTCCCGTTCGCGCACACGTACCTTACGTTTCGCCTGGTCTTCATCCCTAACGCAACGCACCGATCGACGCATGCAGCATGCAGTTCGCTACTGCTGATACGGACCAACGTCGACGCCAAATGACAGCTAGGCATACACATTCAGGCGCAAAGCAAAACGACGCTTGTCACAAATTTCCAGCCAACAAGAACGTAGCTTGCTGCGCGCAGCGTTCGCTCGAGCACAAGCACCAAAAAGGACACAACGTAACGCTTGTAGACAAGCAAAAGGTGGTGTGTGCGCTGAGAAAGAAGACATAGATTGCATCACGGACAAGGTCTTCTTTCGCCAGCTGTGCGCTGGTCTTGCTGCCTGTTTTTAATTTCATGTTGCATCACCCAAAGATGACCCTTTTCCTTCACGAGCCTACGCCGTAGAGGTCACTCGTATTTATGCTGCATACGATCCTACACGTGCTGTAGCTCCACCTGACACAACCTGCGAGCGGCTCCGTAAAACGAGATGATGAACGAAGAAGGGGACTCACGCTGTCGCACTCACCATGATGTCTGGGTTTTCGAGAAGAATATCCAACGCCAAAGTGATCCGCGGCAGATGCTCCACGGTAAAGTGGTAGTAGTTCGGTCCCCACTCTTGGGCCATCATGAACACCTAACGCAGCCACAGACGATGAGTGTGGTGAAGAGTCACGCGATGGACGGATAGAGGAGGGAGACCCATGATTTGCACCATTGGCCGCAAAACCGCAAACCGCGTTATGCTAAACGCCCTCCTACTGCTCGATGCACAATGTACCTTGATGCGGCCGTACACCACCATGTCTGTTATCTCGCTTGTTCTGGGCTGATCCCAGTAGTTTAGGCAGGTTCTCGCACGTAGGCAAGCATACTGCATTAAGTATAGAATCTGCTATTTTGCCCCCTGCCTCGTCTTCTTCGAAATAAGATACTTTCGTTGCGTAGACAGCCCGCTAAACCTGCCGAAGAAGGAAAAGCTTTGAGAGGCCTGCACGCCCTTAAACCGTGTTGCTCTTTGTCACCCAAAATTACTCAGGGCTGGTTGAGCTTGTACACAAACCTGTTCTTCCACGTCATGTGCTGTCGGTACAATTCTACATCACTCCGACGGCCGTAGGCTGGGTGCAGAGTCAACTCGGTACGACACGATTCTGTTTCTCCTTCCTTTCGATCACATGCATACGGATAGCGCCCGCACTAAAGAACCGCTAGTTCGACCGCCGCTGGGGTTTGGATTTAGTTCATCTCGTAGGCTACAAATGACCGCTATATAGGGCTTAGTGTAGGGTTTCTAAACCGGGCTCACAATCGGTGGTCAAGTTCTGATGCTTCGCGTCATTTTGGGCATGAAAGTCTCAACTGCCAAATTGTACGTGCGGGCTCTATCTGGACCAGGCGAAGAAAAAAAAAATTTAGACGCAAGACAAAATTGAGCGTTTGTAATTCCCCCGTTTGCATCATCCGACGACACCATCGTTCGTACTTCCCGCCACCGCCTGCTTCATGGTGGCCACGATTGTGCTCGATGGAATTATCACGGTTACAACATATGCTGGGCATGTATACTCGTATGAATACGTGAACAATAAAACACCTTGCCACCAACTTCCATCAATATACCTCCATGGAAGAATACTTTCCCACGCCGTGGCCAACAAAAATAAAACGTTTCCGCTGCAATATTCCTCGATCTCTTCACCTTTTCGTAGCTATTGATATATCTCGGCATGTCCCCCGCGGCTTCTCGTAAGGCGTCTTCGGCCTCATCCTCCGCAAACCTAGCGCAGTTAACCGGCGCAATGAAATCCTGCACAGGGTCGGTGGGTCGGGCCCAAGTTACAAAAGCAATTGCCACCGTGCCCCCGCCCCCAGAGCAAAAGAAAGCGAGAGCAGACGAAAACGGGAAAAATGAATTATTTTCGTCAGGAAAATATTGAAAGCTAGGTTGGAGGTGGTCGATGTCGAACTGCCAAGGGATAATCGTTCAATCACGGCTGCTCAAAGTGCACCATTGAGGACACGGCCACTTGAAGCAACATCCCCTTGTTTCCTGTGTTGCTCCAGACCACGCGAGTACAGAATTCAAAATTCCAAACGCAGGGAAGAGAACGCAGCTTGTCCCTTCCCCCTGCCAATCCCCATCACAAACAAATTACGTGGCAGCTCGGAGTGCCTGTAGAGGCATACATGCATATCGGTCTGGTCCAACTACACAATAACACAGTTAGACCTCGAGATTAGACTGCTAACGACCAGCAAAAAACCGAAGAACTTTTTTTTTCCTCACTCTGTGGCCGAATTTTCATTATCTTGGATTGAGCACCAGATCTAACAACACGAAGTACTGGCGCCAGGTGGAGAGTTGGCAATTCCGCACCTGTCTACAGATCATTTTCTGTGAATCACCCGGGAAGACCGAGAACTACTGATTCTCACTGGATTTTACAAGGGTTTAGCTCGTTGCTCGTTTTTTCTCCCTTCAACTGAAAAAAGTGAGCCGGGTGATCGCTTCCCCTGGATTTTGTGCACACACCGCACGAAACTGTATCCCGATCCAAGCTGTTGCGTTAGAGAGACAGCAAACGCCGTATCGGCACTCTTGGTCAGCTTTGACTTTAAAGCAAGATGTGATGCCAACACAGCAAAAAAAGTTCGTTGCATGCGTGGAAAGAAAGAACAAGATATTTTTGACAGCAGAGACGCACGCAATGCGCACAGCTTTGACCGCCGGTCTCACACATCCTCCACTACCCACACACTTCGGCTGCCGATACTAACGGCATGCGCGGCTAGCTCTGCTCATTCTGGTCGTCGGAAGCCCTTGAGGGCAGCCGCGGCGAAGCTGTGATGACATTTGTTGCTTCACCTCGCGGGGGCCACATGATACGTATTGAAAATCCGAAAAAAGGGACCGAAACATCACACAAGTTCGAGCTTTGTTTCCCATGTCTCTCGCCGTCCATAAGCTGCCACAGGCGATCGTGAGCACCCGCTAGCTCTGCTCAAACTGATTCTCGGAAGGTCTCAACTATGCTCGTCCTCGATGAATTGGTCCCAACATGTGCCTGAGCGTATTATTGTGCCTAGCAGCAGATTCGGCATGACTTGGCTGAATTTTTCTTGCTCGAGGCGCCAACTTCAAGCCTTGTCGAAAACACGCTCGCTGTTGACACCATTTCATCGAGGGCGAGCAAAGTTAAGAGCTTCCGAGAATCAGTGTGAGCAGGGATAGCGGCGCATCTGCCAGGCTGCTCAGGATCGCCTGTGGCAGCTTGTGGGCGGCAGCAGAACGGATAGAAATAGTGGCTGGAACTGCCTCTGATGACACCGATTTTTTTTTCGGCTATGCGTCCGTGTTTCTTCCGCTCTCATCCGCATATGTTCCGACTTCGCTGCTGCTGTGAATGAATCTTTATGCATGCGCTGCTGCTCCAGCTGATGGGCTACACTCGTGTCCCCGATCGGCCAGTGTAGTGCACATGATTTTCGCTAGTGATCTGGTGGCTGTGTGTGTTGTGTGCAGTGCACGTTGTGCGCTTTGGTGGTGTTGACAGAAATGTTCAAGTCGAGTCATGTACTGTCGGCGTTATGGTGACGTAGCCACCTGTGTTAGGGAGCGTTGATTTTTTTTCAACTCGCTCTAGTCTGTTCCGCTACGGGCCACGGGACACTTTTTTGGCCGAAAAAAGTTGTACTATTGAGGTCTAACAGTAGCTTGAAGCTACAACTTCAACCTAGTAATACATATACTCCTCATCCTCATGCCTCTTCATCCTTTCTCCATGTTTTCTATTTTCGCCGCATTCGGTCGGCAGTTGCTTTTTACTCTGCCGACTTGCCGCTTCAACCAAAGAGCTTCGCACAGCAGATCGTAGGTACCTGCGGTGCACGCCTTTCAGCGCGAGCAGGGTGCATCCTTCCCTCAAGTGTCCTAACGATATGCGTGAGACCACAACTCGCCGGAATTAGAACTCAACCTAACTGCTAGACCACGGGGCGCCCAGAAATAACCAATGGCAACACGTACACCCGTTTCCTCTATCTACCAGAATGTTTCCAAGGTGTTCTTCCTCACATGCTCGTTCCACACCGCCCCTTTCCTGTTGACGAACACGTCCACCATGCTGACCAACGTGGGGATCCTCACGCAATCCTCGATGTCTTGCCCTGGGTCCTCTCCTGAACAGTACGGGGTCAATAGCCTTGCTCGGGTAATGGCAGTTACCCAAGGGAAGGTCAAGAAGCGAAAAAAAAAGCACATAAAAAAAGAGTTCCGGTGTACGTCTCTAGTTACGGACTGAAACAGACGCATCAAAATCTAGTATCTAGAGAACGTCAAGCAACCCTAAGTGCAACACGTGAATCCTGAAAATAACCTGGAATAGGTACTGCACGTATTTCGGGGTGCTTGCATGTTAGGGTTAGGCTTAGGGATAAGAAGGAAAGTAACCACGTGCAAGGCTTGCTCACAAGCAGCACCTCGGCAGAAAGCTTGGTTACGGGTGTGGCAAATGTGCGAAAAGCCAACACTACAACTTGCCGAAAACACAACAACACTACCCCACCGAAATCTCCTCTCCTTTACAGCACGGAGTACATGTAGCCAGCATGACCGACAGCAGGTGTAGCGTAAAATACAACATGACAGTCGTGACTATCAAACCGCGCGCCTCAGACCTTCAGAAGCTACTTACTGTGCTGCGGCAGAGTTTCCCTCGCGAACGGCGCCTAAGAATGGTCTGACACCAAGCAGAGTGGGGAACCTCGGATGTACGTGCACAGTCGTGGATTCCAAGTCAAAGTCGTCGGCCTCGACCATTCGCCTGTTCCAGCAGGATATGAAGCAAACGCATGCACAAGGATGTGCGTTATGCTACAGGGCAGCAGCGCGCTCTCACAAAAGAGCAGGGGGAATAGGTTGGGAAGACCAGGAGGCACCAAAAAGCACGCAAGACTGTGCTAGATAGCGCAGCCTTCAAATCGATCGTACAAAACGCAAAAAAAAGGCAGTAGCCAACATGCTATCGCCTGCTCCAGCACGATAGGAAGGCTGGGCAAGCCCGCGCGCGCGAGCAGTACGCAAAATTTAGGGGTTCGGCCGGATTTCACGGTGCAAAGAGAAGTTAAGGCTGGCAAGTATGGCTGCACGTATCACCACTTCATTTCCGCGACGAAAGGCTCTATTCTATATCTATGCTGGTAGACCAAAGATAACAGTTTTCACCGCAGTTGCCCGGCAATGACTGTTCTTAAGCCAAACGCAGTGGGATTTGAAAACGTGGGCATACCACGGGAACTGGCAGAGAGGTACTCGAGTCGCGAGGACTGCGAGATCCGAAACAAGTTCAACTTATCTTTTAACTACTGGTGGATACGCTAGGCGCACTCGCATCTCACTCATAGTAGTTGTACAAAGTGCACAGCCGCAACCATGTTCTTTGTATCCCATCTACGAACGTCTCGATTTTCTGCCATGGGATGGGCTCTCGCCTTTCCAACTGAAGAGATCCGGTCTGGATGCACACAGCGTAAGTACTCTGGGGTGACGCTGCAACGAGGGAAGGCTTCCACCCTCCTTCGTCCAATCCTACTCACAAACAAGCAACCGTGGGAAGGGGATACAACGCACCTGAGTAGTGAGCCTTGCGAGATAGGGAAGTAGGACTGGAGAGTCTTGACGAAGTCCATGTCGGGGGCAGGCGCAAGTGATCCGGGCTCCCGCGTCAGATCGGGCCTGCGGACCACAACGGCTCCCTGGATGTGCGACATCTCCTCTCCGAGGTCGCCCCCCTGATACGTGTGCAAGTGAATCCCCTGCAGGAGAGTGAGAGGTGGGTGGGTGGGGGTACAGAGGTGGGGGTACAGAGGTCATTCATCAAGCAGCGGGGTGGTGCAAATGATCAGCGACAGACACCGAACGTGCGGCTAGAATCCGATTGAAATACTTCAGTTGGTTTCGCGACATGTGTACGCACGTGAGCACGAGCTTCTCCAGCACAAGAACAGCGTGCGAAAACAACCGAACAAAAAGATTTGAGCGCCGCAGACAGAAAACGATTCTACACCATTGCGACGGGCGTGAAGCCCCCCTGAGAAGCGGGCGAGCGAACGTACAGGTTGTTCACAAGGATTCATCGCCCAACAAACTAGGAGTTGATGTATCTGCACAGGATTATCCAGCTAGAGAGCAAGACTGCAGGTTTCGAACATTACCGGTAACAACAAGTTATTATGTAATGCGGTAAAGAACCACATCTTGGCAACACGGATCGTGAATTGCGATACATGTGGCTACGGCTCTCCAGCGCGTGAGGTTGAGCCATGTAGAGCGACGTCCCACAGGTGGATTGAAGAGTTCCCGTCAAAGGAACGCGTGAAACGGGAGCCGAACAGTAATTGCATCGCGATCCTGAAGCGATCGAACGTGCGTCTATCCCCGTGACCTTGCGCAGGCGGGCACACTTGTAGACGGTAGGCAGTCGGGGACATCGATTTTGTGGGGTTGCCTACATACCTAGCGTGCGAAAAAATCCGCCGGAGGCGCTTTTCTACGCGATTTGACTTCACTAGAGCACAAAAAATGAGTGATTTTGGCCCATCTGACAGAGGCACTATCGCCGGGAAAACGATAGAAACTCCGAGTTCAAGGACTGAATTTGTTGGTTGTCAACATAAGGATATATTCAGCTAGAAGTATTGAAATGTAACTCCCAAGTAACCAAGTGACATCCATCAGTTGGGTTGATGAGCGACGCTCTCGTATACTGGACTCTACAGCCCCTCTCTCGCAGAAACACGAAGGACTCTACGAAGGACACAACGACACGGCAGCCCTGAACGTATACCAATAAACCAGCTAAGAGCTAAAAAGCTAAAAAGGAAACGACGAGTCTATCTACTAAGTCTACCTAGAAACGACAGGATAAGTTGCGCAACAAATGAACCACCAGCTTGATAGAATGCTCCAAGTAGGAGATAAGAACAGCGCCAAAGCCACGCAACCGAAACCTACACCGCGCACAAATCACTACCGCTAGCACCAGCACAACAAGCAGTGACTTAGAATGGCGATTCTTTGCGCCACCAGCCCCCTTCAGCAGAGAACCAAACAAAGATCCTCCCCATCAAAGACACCCACCATCAAAGACAGCCACTACCCTAGCCCCTCTTCGCGGCCGCGGAGGTGTTCGACTGTTCCCATTTCTTCACTATCTTCCACGAGTGGCACAGAAGGACGAGCAGCTCCACGGTGGTCGGGGCCAAGTTGTTGCGATGTTTCCAGCGCAGGAAAACAGACGCTCGAACTCTGCCTGAGTGGCGGGGATCGCCAGCACACCGCGGGCGAGGTTGGTCAAGCGCGGGAAGCCTGCGCACCGTACCCGCCACCAATCCAAGGGGTCAAGGTACACCTTTGGGCCTTCCTTGCCTTCCTCGTACATCTTGATACCTGTGGACACCTTGAAGGCCGTGAGCTCCACCCGCACCGAGTTCGTGAGGAGGCTAGTGGTGGAGCTATCAGCGCCTTCGCCCAGCTGCGGGGTTCGTGCGCCTCCGACCGCTTGCGCCGCCGCCATGAACCCCCCACGCGCGGGCGCTTTCTCGAGGATTCCTCTGCACCCGCACTGGTGGACGATAATGCCGGTCCTGCCGCTGCTTCTGGTCCTTGCTGCGACGAGGTGCGCTGAGAGTTCTCCGCATTGCGGGTTTCCACCGCGATCTTCACCGCCTCTTCCTGCACGAGCTTCCAAACGTCGGCCTTCTCGTCCTCGTCCACTCCATACGGGATCTTTGTGCGAGGGTCGAGCGCGGTTGCTAGGACGTGCACAGGCTTGAAACCACCTGGTTGCCGCCTGGGGCCCTCCTTGTAGATCAGGATGTTGTGTCCGTCTCCCCACCGGTCGATGTAATCGTCTCGGAGCGCCTTGATGCACGGCATCACCGCCGCCCACGCCGTGTTCACGTTGGCGTCCGAGTCGGGCGGTAGCTCGACGAGATCGTCGATCGCGTCCTCAAGGCTGTTGCGGAGGTCGTAGATGAAGGGTACCACTAAGCTACCCGTCACCTACTTGCGGCCTTCAAGCACAGTCTGGGTGTTCCTGAACGGTTCCAGGACATGCAATATCATCTCCGCCCAGTCTGCCGCCGAAAGTAGCGGGTCCAGCTTGTCCGCCGTCTCGTGCATCATATAAAAGGTACTTCAAGCTCTACCAGTCGCGCTGCCATGCTGCATGTGGACGACCACATGGTTACCACGTCCTGGATCACCCGCTTGTTGTCAACACCAAGGTAGGTCTTGACAAACTGCTTGAGCCTATCGGCCGCCTGGCTCGATGTCGGGTATCGCGTTACCAAGCCGCGGGCCAAGACCATGACCTTCTTGACCCTCGGCCCGTTGAAGACGATGGAGGAGGTGCTTTCAAGCCGGTAGTTGCAGCAGCCGATTTGGGTGGAAACGGTAGCGTCTCCTGCGAGAAGGCGCCCCATCTTCACCATTGAAGGCTCACAGTCAGTTGTAACAGCGGTGACCTTGCCAGTCAGACCATGCTTCGCCACCGTGGCTTTGATACCAGCAGCAAGAGCATCACCTGTCGTCGTTCCTTCCGACTTACTGCAGTCCACCGAGAGAGTGACGAGCTTCCAGGCACTGGTGATCAGGGTGAACGTCAGCGACATGTAGGTGTCGTTGGCGCAAGAGGTCCAGCCGTCGGAGGTGATGCACACTTGCTCGCCCTCGATCAGTCTTGACACCTTCTCCATCATGCACTTCTTGACAGTACGCATGGTGGTCACGCAGTCTTTCTTCTCTGGGACTCTGGCGCTCGGGCGTATGGCGTGTACCATAGCCTTGAAGATTTTTATCCGCTAGCATCTGTACGAAATTTTTCTGAGGAAAAGGGAGGACCGGACGTAGGAATTCGGATATAGAGATGTCAGTGACGCCGAAAAAACAGCAGCAAGAATGTGTCATGAGTAGTCAAGGCTAGAAGCAATGTACAAAAAAAATAAGAGCGTCGGTAACAAAACAAGAGGCCGACCTACTGCTGTATCTGTTTCTGCCATGCGTGGGGGGGTGAAAATGAACAAATGATTCTATGATTATTCGTACTTGGCTTTCGATAGCTTTTGATGCTTAGATGCGAGAACGGGGAAAGCATGGATGCTACAAACATTGGTAACAGAAATAAAAAACTTCGCACGTAAAGACTATTACTCGAAACAAAATATATGTACGAAGTAATACGAAGCGTACATCATATATCAATACGAAGTACATCATATGTATAATAAATGAATATAAATATTCAGGGCTGATGTTAGCTAGCCAATACATAACATAGAAAACAAATATTGAATTCTCCGTATTTAAGTACACACGCACACATGCACCTCGTACCGAGAAGGGAATGGCGTTCATCACCATTCATCGCACTAAGTGTTGGTGTCAGCCCGCGGTGTCTTTGATGAAGTAGCTGTCGATCCCCGCCGACGCCTTGGGGCCACTGATCGCTCCCGACGCCGCTCCCGCGGCGCTGACAGGCAGAGACCTTCCCGCCGCCGTGCGGCTTGAAGTGCAGTCTTCGAAGGCTGCTTGATGGCCGGCAAAATCGGTGTGGAGGTGGCTCAGCATGTTTGATGGCGACTGGCTGTACTTGATCTTTTCCCGGCCGAACTCCTTCTGCTCCATGCACAGCTTGCAGACGGCAAACGCCTTGAAGTTCCCTTTGACGTAGCCCTCAAAGTATCGCCAGGCGTACGCAGAGGCCCCAGACGGTTTTGACTTCCGCACCCCGGTCTGCACCTTCTTCAACTTCAAGAGGCGCTCAGCCTCCTTCACGCTCACCCGTGAAGGGTCCACCGCCGTGTCCACCACTTGCACCTCGTCGCTTGCTCCGGGCGGTGCCGGCGCATCCGGCTGCTGCTGCTGCTGCGCGGCTGATGTAGCTGCTGCCGCTGACGCAGCAGCCCCTGCATCATCAGCACCACTGCCGGGGTCTGCAGCAGACGGCAAGCTAGCAGGGGAGACTACAAACCTGTCCATCGTTGTATGGTCTCCCTACCTGTGTGGCGTGTTTGGTGTTTTGACTGCTGTGTGGCTGTGTCTCTCTCAGAGGCGGCGCGAATAGATGGGTTTCCGCTGGTTCTTGTGGCCTATTATTGAGGGAATCTGCCAATATTAGAATGTACTCGAGTACTGGCTGCTGACGCAGCCAGTGCACATGCACTGTCAGTGCACATGCACTGCCAGTGCATGTGCACTGGCAGTACGTACCGGTTCAGTACCCAACCCTACCAAATCTAGTTTCGAGCTTCCACACGAGAATTTCTGTAGCCAGCACCAGGTTTCACGTTTCAGCAGCGCCGTGAGTTATGCCCTACGCACCATCGACCATGACGACCAACATACGTGTGTGCGCGTTCGATCGTAGAAGTCACGCCATGGATGACGCACCAAGTCATACATTTCAGGTCGGCGCCTTTTGTGCCGTATTCGCAAGGGTCTGCTCTGCGAGCGAAATGCGTGCATCCTTTTGGAGTGAGTATACCTATAAATCCAAAAAGGATACATCTTCAACATCGATACAAAGCGGGTAAGAACGGCAATGTTAAGCAGTCCCGACACTCACTTGACAGCAGCGCGGGCTCGGGCATTGCAGTCGCGACGATGCTGTTGCGGCCTGCTGCAGCCTAGCCCACACCGATAATCCGCCGACAATCGTAGTCGACGACGCCGCGTTATCTTGGTCTTTTTGTAGTACCGCAGAGTTGGAGTTATGGGGGATAACCGGACACGACCCGTTGGAAGTGCGGTAGATCGTCGGCAACGAACTCTCCGCATCTTCTGGAGTCTCTGGTTCAAGTGAGACCTCTAGTTCCTCGCCTGGAAGACCTTCTGCTCTTCTCTTCACTTTTTGATGCTCTTGCTCCAACCCCTGCTGGTCGTGGTGGTTCCGTGATGACGCTGGCGCATATGGATTCTGGTTCCGCTTGGTCCGCCGCTGTTGGTTGAGTTCATGGCTTCCTCGCAAGGAGTTATTTACTTCGCGTCGAAGCCGGTTTCGTCGAACCAAATCCTGCCTTGCCGCTATTGTTGCTGCTTCATCCCCCCGTCCGTCTCTCTGTTGAATTACAGGAGGTGCCTCGCCTATGGGTGCTGGCATTGTCAGTGGAATCTGATCAAGCACCATAGTAAACAGGAGGCCCTGCGCCGTGCGATTGGGCGAAACGTCGACAAAAAGCAGCTTCCACGAGTCAAGGAAACCGGTCTTTTTCCTCCAGTGGTTGTGGCTCGAGCGGGTAGTAAGAAATCTCCAAACACACCAAATGTATGCTACTACTCTTGGAGTTTGACTCCCCACGTAACCTTACATCAGCCAAAAAAAGGCACCGGTATTCTCGCAAGCGCCGTTGTGTGTGGTAGTGTCGGCGTTGCGGTTGCGTGCGAGCACGACGTGGTTCTATACTTCTACCAAATCTCCTGTTTGGTTCGCCTATGTACCAAGTCGCTCACTACCTTATATCATTCTGAATTTCAAACAGCGAACTAGGGATACCAGCATCTCCTCGACCGGGGATTTCCACGAACCCATGACATTTCGGACGTCAGAGCGAGCCGCTGGGCGCTGAAATTCTTTCAAGGGTATCCTTATAGCTGGATGGATGTGATGCCTGCCTGCGTCAATCGTGAAGCCCATCTCTTAATCGTGAAGCCCGTTAGCTCCGTCTCCCCCATGCTCTCCATCCGTGGCGCGTCAGGCGGGTGTCCTGTTGTTGGGGGGAATACCGTCCGAAAAGTATCACAGAAACAAACAGATTTGAGACTGGGACGAAACAACAAACTTGTTGTGAGTCAGAAGGTGGGGGAGGGAGAACAAAGGGGGGTGCAGGAGCTACGACATCCCATCCACGGTTTTGGTTTGACAGAATCTTACCAGTATCCCACACGAAGACAGAGTGAGCGAGAGAGACTGTCAATCTCCCAGCTGTTTTTTATTCTGTGCAGTTATCACTTCCAAGTCGATGAAGTCTGAGTCCCGTGTCCTCACGCGGTTGCCTGGATCGCCCTTCTCCGAGTTTGGTCGCCCAAAGGCCAACGAGTCACAGCAGGCATGAGTCCCACATATGGTATTTTCCCATCCGATTGTTACCGCAAGAGATTCGATCATAATATGGGTTTGATGCCACCGACTGCTGTAAATATCGGCAACGACGATGAAGGGCAAAATAACAAGAACCTCCCGGCTTGCGGAGTAGTCCCAACCTCAAACGCTTGTGTCAAAAAAAGGTCATCAAGCAGAGGTAGCGTGCGACATGGCACGCTCTGATCTGCTGCTAAATAAGGCAGTGTTATCGAACGCTACGCAGGGTTCAAAACCTCCGCAAATCTGGATCCAAATCAAATGCTTTCATCACGCACAGCTTTGCTCGCCGCCACGAGCCACAATCTCGTGAGTTGCTTCGTGTCGTCCAAAGCAAGTACTTCGCGTACTGCTACAGAATCGCGACTCTTCTCGTGTTACCCTGAACGGGTAGTTTTCTGTTAATGGATGCATGTTTCGAAGAACGGTGGGCAGAGCTACCGGCGCGGTTCCAGGTCTGCTACGGCAAGTAACAGCAGGAATGGCAGATGAGCGGTATGAGTGGTTTCAGACCCTCACTCGGCGAGGATTTTTCGATCGCGGCGGCAATATTTTATTGCATCCCCGAACCTGAAAACTAAAAAGTACCCAAAACAAAATACATTCCTGTCAGGCATGCTTGAGGTTTTCTGATGGACGACACTGCGGAAGAGAAATTGCCAAATGATAAGGCCTGTAGGGATTTGGTACAGCCTTCGAAGCCCCCAAAATAAGATCGACAGTAGTGCAAGCTCACGCACATCGCCGCTCGACGGCGTTCTTTATTGACTTCAAGAATGGCTGGTTGCACTGACATCAAGGGTTCACGAAAAAAAATCCTTGACACACACCCCTTTCACCTTGTTCATTTTGAGCTGGCCGAGGGATGTCTATAATATAGGATTTAGAGGAGGGACAATACAACATGAGTATTTTCATACGGTACGATACACTATGCATGAACATTTCGTATTGAGGGAAGTCAGACCGTGCAATACACTACTTGAACCAATACACATTGACACACGTGGTTCTGCCGCACCAGCTCCACACCACAACGAACGATCCCACGGAATCAAAATGACTGTAGCCGAAGAGGACCCACCGAGGAAGCACCACACATACGACACACGATAACACACCACCTGGACTGGTCTTCAAAGCTCCAGTACCACGACCAAGAGGATGCATTAACGAAACGATACGTTTTCGGAGAGCTCTCGGCCAGACAGCCTCAACGCCGCCGTTTTCGACTCTGCTACGCTTTCTGCTGTTGATAAATCAAGCTTTGAAATCGGTCCAGGGGGTGTGTTCTGTCGTTCACAACATTTATAGGATTCCTTGCGCCTATTCTAATATCAGTTTATTTCGGGGCGTCATATCTCGAGAATGAGGACGGAACGACAGGTAATCTGCGACAAGGCTATTTTCCTATCTGCGGAGGCTCGACTTGCGAGCGGAGCTAGCCACACGCCCAACATACATACCACACGCATGCGGCAGAGAACGGGGCAGTAACTACTTTGGGAACAAATAAGTAAACCTTCTGTCTACCCGGAGGTTATTTTTACTTATGACACAACTATTTTGTTGTTTTTTCGGCCCAGAGCGGTGGTCCAGGATATTGTTGTACCTGTATGTACCCATGTGATGGGCTTCTTGCGTAAGTGCACGTGAGACTTTGTAGCCAACTCCTCTTGCACTTGTGCTTTACATGAAACACCTGTACAGCAGTAATAGTATTGCGGACACTAACCCAAAACACTGCGGCTACCCCGGCCATTAGAGTCATTTCCGACAGCAACGCGCTGCCAAGGTTTCCACGACTGCTGTTCCGACCGTCTCATAATTTTAGACCAGCCGTCCTTGTCCTTGCTGTACATAGGTTGCTGGGTATTCGCTCGTCTGTATCACGCAAATACACACATGGAGTACCACCTTAAGTGTGGGCTAGCATACACAAATAAGTCCCGCATCCATTAGGAGCTCCTCAACCCTCGCTGCAGCACAGAGCTAAACAACCTGAACCGGGTTATCTCTCGAACAGGGACAAGTACTACTGCTGTAGAGCAGCACACCCGCTACTGTAGGTAATGCAAGACTACAAAGTATACAGCAATGCAAGACGCAATTCCGACCCGTGCGGGCTATCGACAACTTATCCAATAGCAAAATCCAAAGCCGTGGGACTCGGGTTGTGTTCCGCAAGACGCAGGGGTCGTGGATGGCAGTGTCAGGGTTCGTAGGGGTGGGTGAGCAGGTCAATAGCATGTGAGGTGCTTTGCAGCAAACATATGCATACAAATATGTACGGACAGTATGATAATGGATAGTCTATACAGCAGTGGAAGTACATACTGCTGTAAGGGTTAGGTACGTACATACCCCATTACCGCGCACATCGATTGCCAGCGAGTGGCGTATTGCAGTCCTGCCTGCTCGTGATCCTCAGCAGCCTATATCGTACCAGGCGACAGCTACTGCTGTAGTTATCATTCCCAAACGTGCACCTAGCAGCCAGTAATTGTTTCCACGCCGGCGCGCACCCATCAAGTACGTGGAGCCGGGCATCATCAAATGCCGAGATATTGGCGGGAGAGAAGCGGGTTGCTGACCGGCGGTACCCTACTGGCCACGGCGCTGTTGTAGGCAGACGATATACGACCCACAGCTAGATACGACACGCGTGGAACTTTCAAGGCCTGGTTCCTTGCATCACGCGCCAGCACGAGAACCAGACGAGCGAAAGGAGAGAGTAACTGCTGTGCGTCCTCCTTCCATCAATTGTTCTGAAAGGCACAGCTAGTTCAGATTTCTATTAAATAAATACTGAATGTTCTGTAACGCACAGACCAGTCTGCTTCAAAACAAAAACAAAAACACATAACCAAGGACACAGCACCAATCCTCAAACTGCTATGGCACGACCAGATAAGCCAATGACGGTTACTGCGTCCACATCGCCGGAGACCCTACGTCGCATGGAAGAAGAGTAAAGGCTCCCATCGATGCATCAGACTTCTAGGATTGGTGGTCTGCGCAAGACAGCTTTCTCAGAAACCCGCCGTCCACACCATACTTCTTGAAATCACGGAGGCATCATTACTTGGCGACCCTCACGGCCGTGGGGCTGTGGGCTGCCACAGGAGCACAGCAGTGGTAGAGGCATGCACACCATGTCTATGTCACACCATGTCCACGTTCCTACCAGGATTCGACAGAAGAGGTCGCTTGCTGCACTCGCCAAGAGTGTGTTGTGCATATGCGGAGAAAAATAAAAGCAAAGTGTCTTCCCGGGGCATCTCGTGGGCATACAGTTTCCCGCTGCACGTTGTCCTCCTCCCTCTTTCTCTCTGCCTATACTCCTCGCTCTCTCACACGCACCACCTCATGCTTCACCTTGAAAATGTAATGCTCCCAGAGTTTCCGTGGGTCGCTCTTGTCTGTCCTCTTCCTCTTCCGGCCACAAACAGGGGTGAGGGGCTCGAAGCTCACGGCGCTCTCGGCGCTTCCAACTTCCAGCAGGGTGGTTTTCCCCTGAGAAAATGCGGCGAGATTCCCCGATGAGAGATTGGACGCTTCTTGTATGCCTTGCTTGATTGTAAAATAGTGTCTACTTTCGTGTGTCTACAAGATGACATTGGATGTTGCTACTCCGAGGAGTATACAATACCGGACCAAGTTGCTGTATTGCTGTCGTTGTCAGTCCTCTGTTCAGTCCTCTGTCAGTGTGTGTACCTCCAAACATCCTTTGGTGGAGCTTGGCCCACATCGATCATTGACGCGGAGGATGGGGTCCCACGCACCAAGAGCTTTCTTCTTTTAGAAGGAACGTGCGGTTTCTGTAGTGCATCGTACACGTAGCAAAGCTTCATCGGGGCCAAGGGAGAAATCAATGTAATGGAGCGAGTACGTACCAGGGGTACATGGACAGAGTTCATCCTGCCACAAAGCGAACAACCGACGGGTAAATCTTTATATCATTAGGGAAAATAAGTGCACACACAGAAAGACTACTACAGCAGTACCCGTTCCAGTGTAGAGCGGTATTTTCTTTCTCCGCCCCAGCTCCTGGAGGCGGCGCACGACGAACAGCATGTCGACGGTGGATCGCCCGGGTCGACATCCGCACTGTTCCTCCGGAGGATGTTGTTGGCTTTGCAGAAGGCGCTTAGACGGTTGGTGATGATCTTGATGGGGACCTTGCCTACGTGAGACAGTAGCGAAATCCCCCTGTAGTTGTTACAGCAGTTGGACCGGTCACCCTTCTTGTACAGCACCTTGATGGTTGCATCCTTCCACTCTCGCGGGATATCTCCTCTGTTCCAAACTTTGACGAGGATGGTATGGAGGTGTCCCAGGACGAAGGGTTCGTCGTCATCGATCTTGAGCAACTCGGCAGGGAGGGAGTCATGGCCGGGTGCCTTCCAGTTCTTGAGGTCTTTCGTTGCCCGTGCCACCTCCTCGAGTTCTGGCACATGTNCACCTTGACGAGGATGGTATGGAGGTGTCCTAGGACGAAGGGTTCGTCGTTATCGATCTTGAGCAATTCGGCAGGGAGGGAATCATGGCCGGGTGCCTTCCAGTTCTTGAGGTCTTTCGTTGCCCGTGCCACCTCCTCGAGTTCTGGCACATGTCCCAACCGTTGAGTGTCACTGTCGCTGGCCGCTGCGTCACTCGTTCGATGATGTCTGGGTTGAGGGCGGGGGATTTGAAGTTGAGTAGGGTGCTGAAGAATCTCGCCCACCGCTGGAGGATGTCGTCCCTGTTCCGGAGCAACACGCCGTTCTCATCCGCGACGAACTGCTGTCCCCGCGCTTGTCTCCCGCTGAGGCCCACTGATCTCTTGAGGTGTTGGTACAGTCCTCGCATGTCGCGATCTTTGTAGATTTCTTCGAGCTCAGTCACATATCCGTCCAGGTGGGCATAAATGCCCGTTTCGACTGCTGTAGCCACTCCCTTACACGCTGCTTTGAGAACCCTCCACGTCGCTGAGTTCCAGTTGCCCCTCATCGCCCGGCGCGCTTCCCGACGTTTGGTAAGGGCCTGCTCCAGCGCCTCTCGCGTCTCTGGGGTCTCACACCACTCCTGCGTGCGGCGTCTCCGCGGTTCCTCCCCCAGGGTCGTCCGCGCTGCGTCGAGGAGAGCATTGGTAAAGTCGGTCGCCAATTCCGCGGCGGTGGTTGTTCGCTCGTCCAGTCGTGTGTCGAGGTTGAGGAGGAACCGATTAGTCGCCGCACACCGTGCTGCTTCGAACTGCATTCCCGTCGGTTGAATTGCTTCTGTTTCGGTTTAGTCCGGACTGCACGGTTGTGGGCAAGCCTGCCACCGAGGTTGACGGTGGCTACTACCATATTGTGGTCTGAGTCTGCTTTGACTGGGCGAACCGGCTGGGGGATGACGACCACGTTAGATACTCGGCCGTGATGTGCCTGCCTTGTCAGGATGTAGTCAAGGCGCTTGCAATCGTTTCCCGACACACCGTTGTATGTGTGCCATATTCCGCCCTTGCGTGTCTCAAAGAACGTGTTCGTGAGAGCTAGCCTGTTTTCCGTTGCGAAGTTCAACAGTAGCATGCCATTGTCGTTGAGCTCATCACGCCCGTATATTCCTATTACCCTTCCGTCCCCTCCGTCCAACCTATCTCCCGTCCGCGCGTTGGTGTCCAGTAGGACATACACACATTCCTTGGAAGGAATCCTCTACACGAGACTGTCAAGTTTTCCCCAGAACACGCGCTTGCTGTCGGCGGTTGAAGGTTCGGTTGGAGCATACGCGGCTACGAAGTTGACCGCTCCACGGTGGCCTGCCACCAGAAACCTCATGGCCATAAGGCGTTCGCCGATAAACTCCGTAGTGAACGTGGCTGTCTTGCACAGTGACTCTTTGACGGCTATCCCCACACCATAGACTCCACCAGCCTCCGTGCCACAGCAGAACACCCGGAAACCCGCTGCTGCAAATTCCGTTCGACCTGCCCTCCGTGTCTCCTGCATCCCTACCACCGATACGTCTTGTCTCGCTGCCTCGTGTAGAACGCTGTAAGCTCGCCCGTATCCATTGGCCCCGTTTACAGCCAAAGTCCGCACATTACAGGTTGCTACCCTAAGAAGTTGACCCTGCTGTCTCTGTCGCGCGGAGCGCGCTGCTCTCTTAGCTAGCCTACGCGCCGCCCGACCCCTCCTTTCTCTCCATCTTCCCCTCTTTTTTGTTTATTTTACTATTTTCTCGCGAACACTCGGGCTAACGTGAAAGTTACCCCGGTTCTTGCCTTGTTTCCCATAGCGTTGTCTTCTTGTTCCGGAGCGGTGTGGCCCTCCATCTCTGGACTCTCTCCTTTCCTCTCTCTGGGGCATACCCCCACGGCGTGCGGCCACTCCGCCACCCTC